TATAGATGGTTATAACCACAAGATGTTTTATGTAAGCGTCATAATAACCAAAAGGCAATACTGATAGAAGATACACAAAAGAAAATTTGAAAGGAATCAAAGCATGACACTACAAAAAAAAAATCACTGAAGCACAAAGGAAGACAGTAAGAGAGAAAAAGAGGGAGAAAAGAGACACAGGACAAATAGAAAACAATTAACAAAATGATAACAGTAAGTCCTTTCCTATCAATAATTATTTTAGATATAAATGCATTAAACTCCCCAATCAAAAGATACAGAGTGGCTGAATGTATAAACATAATCCAACTATATGCTGTCTATAAGAGAGTCACTTTAGATTTAAGGCTGAAAGTGAAGTATGGAAAAAGACATTCCATGCAAATGGTAGCCAAAAGAAAGCAGGGGTGGCCATAATCATATCAGACAAAAGAGACTTTAAGTCAAAAATTCAAGCAGGATATAAAAATATAAAGTGAAAACACCTGAAGGCCTACTATCTTGTGATAATTCTTAGTATTTTTTAAACCATATTTTAACATATATACATGTAAATAACAGAGATGTATTTTATAGTTTTAACAAGATCTTCATTGGTTACCTATCAGTTTCTCCTTTGTACATACACCTTCACAAGTTCCTACAGTCCCCCAACGTAGAACATATTAAAAATCTGGTGTATATATCCCACATCTTTCTCCATGTTCATACAGTCACATATATATAAATACACACAGTTATATATTCAATTCCTATTTTTTTAAATTTCATCACAGATAAACTAATACTTATAACTGATGGGGAATATATCAAAATAACAGTAAACAATTGTGTAAATATAACCCAGTTTAAGAAATACAATACATGAAATAACTTTTTGTTGTTGTTAGAACAACTCAGCAAAATAAAATTCTGGTTTATTGTTGGACAGCATTGTTCCACACATACATCAAATGGGCCAAAGAAAATAAACAGAAACTTCATAGGCAAAAAAGGAAAAAAAAGAAAACTTTTACCTTTGGCCTTTTTAACCATCTCATAGAAACCAACTACTTATAGCACAGCTAAGTACATACACACCAAAAAATTACTGACGTGCTCGGAATAAGATTTTTTGTTGTTGTTTTGCCTTTTTTTTTTTTTACAAGGTTTTATTTTCTTCTTTGAGATTATAATGAATATGGTCACACCATAAGTAAAGTCAGAAGTAGGGCAGAGAACACTCAGAAGGCTAGTCTGGTCATCCGAGATCACTAAAAATGGCTGACCCCTAACAGTATGTAAAAATATATAAATATAAAGTACAAATTTCCCCTTTTGAAATACTTTTAAGAAAAAAAGCAGGGCCTTGGAATTGTTGGTTCTTTTTTTCTTCCCTGTTTGCAGATTCCTGTTGTGGTTTTGGGTGGGGGTTGGATTGAGTGTGTCATCTGTAGGTGGCGCTGCCAACATGGGGTGTGGGCAGGTGGGACCCTCCACTTGAAAGTGACCACGTTTATTTTTTTTTAAGATTTTTGATTTACTTATTTGACAGAGAAAGAGATAGCGAGAGCAGGAACACAAGCAGGGGGAGTGGGAGAGGGAGAAGCAGGCTTCCCGTGGAGCAGGGAGCCCGATGTGGGGCTTAATCCCAGGACCCTGGGATCAGGACCTGAGCTGAAGGCAGACATTTGACTGAGCCAGCCAGCTGCCCTGAAAGTGACCACGTTTAGAGTCTGAGATGGGAAGTGGGCAGGTGGGGTGAATAGATCATGGTAGCCTTTGTTGTTGTTAAGTTTAACTTTTTCTTTTTTGCTGTCCAATCATCCTCATAGGTCTTCTGTTTCTTGGTGTTGACATCATCATACTCATCATCTTCAGCTGCCTGTGTGTGTTCCTAGCTGCCTAAGCCTCCCCATCTTCCTCTCCATCCTCTTCTTCATCATCAGCTTCCTATTCCTCCTCCTCTTCCTCCTGCTCCCTTTTACCTCTTCTTCATCTATCTTGTTGGTCTCCTGCTCCCCATTTTCCTCAGGAGCTTTCCCATTAGCAGGTGCATCTCTTCCATTCTCTGCCTCCTCCACAATTCTCCTGTTAAGTCCTTGGTGGTAATCTCGGAGCTGGTGTCCACGGCTGTCTCTGACATGACCTGGCATGCCGGTGATCCAATGCAGTGGATTAAAAAGAAAGCAAGAGTTGGAGGGCTCTGGCGATGAAGCTGCTGGAGTCTGTGGTGGTGGAGGAGGTGTGTGGCAGAGGTGATTACCGCGAATCCAGAGCTGGACACAGGAACAATGCAAAGATGGCATTTCAGAGCAGCCAGTGGGGTCATGAGATAACTTTGAATCCCTCTGCAAACTTATCTTTTCATGTTTCCTCCTCTCTGAACTTACCACATTCCTGAATTTTATTTACCATATCCTTGTTTTCCATTATCTTCCACTTAAGCACAAGTATCATTTATTTTGCTTCTTTCTAAAATTTTATGAATGGAACACACTCTATATTTCTATGGCTCTTGCTCATCATATGTTAGAGTCAGTAATTTTCACTGCTCATCATATGTTAGAGTCAGTAATTTTCACTGCTGTGTACTATGCCAATGTAAAAGTACTCCACCTAATTATCCATCCTACTTTTTTTTTATGTTATGTTAATCACCATACATTACATCATCAGTTTTTGATAGTGTTCCATGATTCATTATTTGCGTATAACACCCAGTGCTCCATGCAGAACGTGCCCTCTTTAATACCCATCACCAGGCTAACCCATCCTCCCACCCCCCTCCCCTCTAGACCCCTCAGTTTGTTTTTCAGAGTCCATCGTCTCTCATTCCATCCTACTTTTGATGGGCATGTTTCATTTCTAGATTCGTTACTGCAATGATATTAGCAAAACCAATGTAACTGTGTTTTATGACAGAGAAAGCATTCAAGGATTTTTAGCTGTGATGAAGCCAGTTAGGATGAAACAAAAGAGAGACATTTGGAGGAGAAACAACAAAAAAAGATCAGAAAAAAACCATTTTTTCCCCCCAGGAACATTTGGTAGTTTGTTCTGAAATTGTGATAGACAAGGAATTTTATCTTCTTCCCTCATACTACATCCATTAGCTCTTCATATATTTTTATCTACCATTTCAGGTCTGAACAAAAAGTGTCAGAAATGTCAGAAGAAATACAAATATTTAGGTTCAAAATTGCCAACTGCAACAAAGGAATCAGGCACTGTTCAGGAAATGGTATCCTGGTTTTTGTTTACTCAGAATATGACAAAATGTAATTATCACTTTTTGAATAAGACAAGTAGTGTTCTTTTTTTTTTTTTTCCAAAGATTTTATTTATTTATTCATTAGTGACAGAGAGAGGCAGAGGGAGAAGCAGGCTCCCAAGGAGCAGGGAGCCCGATGCAGGACTCGATCCCAGGACCCTGAGATCATGACCTGAGCCGAAGGCAGACGCTTAACCATCTGAGCCACCCAGGCGCCCAAGACAAGTAGTGTTCTGATAGACTAATTATGCAGTCTCAAACAGGTTCCTTGCCTTGCATGACCTATAAACTAGGATATCTGATTCCCTAATGCTGGGCTCTGCTCTAATCTACCTGCTTCCACAAGTAGGAAATTATTTCCTTAGTCCAGGGTTTTCAAAGTTATCTGGTTAAGTATCCTTAACATTACAGAAGATTGGAAACCTACAGCAGCCACTCCATGACTGGATGTTACTTTGATTTCTTGTTTCATCTTTTTAAAAAAAGATTTTATTTATTTGTCAGAGAGAGAGAGAGTGGCAGGCAGAGGGAGAAGCAGGCTCCCCACTAAGCAAGGAGCCTGATGCGGGGCTCGATCCCAGGACCCTGGGATCATGACCTGAGCTGAAGGCAGACACTTAACTGACTGAGCCACCCAGGCATCCCTATTTCTTCTTTCTTTTAAAATGTTGATTTGCATTCTTTCCAATAAAACAGCATTGGTTCATTATAAAATATCATTATAAAATCATTTGGTAAATAAATTGCAACTATTTTTCTGCATCACAAATTTGATGCTCCAAGATGCAATAACACTATTTTATAGATAATGAAACTGTGGAAATAATGAAACTCACTATCCTAACACAGTCACAATTATCCAGGCATATATAGTGATTGGCAGTCAGATAATCAAACTAACACCGCACTGTCTTTCGATCTCAGCTGGACAGTGATCCACTTTCATAATCATCATAGTATGCACACAAAAGGAAAGTCTATAAAAAAACCTCACAGATACTAAGTCGTTCTCGGTTACTGATATTAACACACAATGTCACACATCTCGTCTCTCAGTCCAAAGAGGCCTTTGCATATGATCACAGTATCAATCCATGACCACGTATTGTTGCTGTTCAACAGTGGTATGTAATTTCTAACACAAACCGCCTTACACCTAAGGAAACAAAGATTCACACTAGCACAAACTATCCCATGAATGTAAACAACTCCACTTAAGGTCCCACTCACCGAATTGGACCCACAACCTCACCCAGAGGAAGACGCACCCATCTGTTCAACTGCCAGACCCTGCTCCAGTCTCTCGTAATCTAGATAAGCTCGCGGCCTAGCTCATTCCCACGGACCTCAATTGAGATGTTCCCGCTCACTGAAGCCTAAGTCCCTGGTCACCGCCCCCGTCCCCCCCGCCGCCCTCCGCCCCCTTCCCGTCTCCATCTCCTCTGGAGTCCAGAATGCGTTCCTCAGCCTTCCTTGAGAACCATTCATCAAAGACCACAACCATTCATCAAAGATGTTGTTTGACAACAACATAAAAGACAATTGAGCTGCGAGGTTCGCCGAGCCGAGACCTACTCCCTGCAGCAAAGACTAGAAACGAACTCCGCGTGGACTTTGGAAAATGCGCCTTTGCTACGCGTAGCCGAGTTGCATGCTGGGAGCAGCCTAAGGGTCCAGGGTCCCAGCTTCCGGGGATTTGCCCGCCGCGGACTACATTTCCCAGAAGTCCCCGGGCACAGGTCTTCTTCGGGCGGGGCGAGTTTGCCCGCGGAGACCTCTTTGGATGGCCAGATTCCCAGCCTCCCAGGACGTTCCGGCTCTTACTTCCCAGAAACCTGTGGGTCCGTTTCCGGTGTCCTGAAGGTTTTTGGACTCGGCGAGTTGAGGTGCTCGCGTCGGGGGAAGTAATCAGCGCCGGGTCAGAACCGGCAGCGAGGGTGGGGGTGACTCCGGGAAGCGCCCGAGTTGAGGAGCCCCGCGTCGCGGACAGGGCATGTCGCGTTCGGAGCCTCCAGCCTGTGTGCGCGCGAGCGGTTGAGAAGGATGGTGTGTGACAGCCGGCGTGGCCGGGCCGGGGTGTGTCTCCGTAATTGTGTTTGCGATTGGGAATGTGTGATGGGGTGATGAGGTGCGTGGCCTTGTGGTTTTGCTTTGGCCGTTTGTGCTCCAAGTTCCCTCTAGACTTTCTTTGGGCTTGCCAAAGTTAAGTGACCGCAAGAGAAGGAGTCCTACGCTAAGAAGGCATAGGTCCAGTCTTGGGAGGAGCATTGTACATCCGGAAGTGTGCTCATGACTTGCTCCTAGGAAGACGTGATGGGGAGGTCCCAGAGGTGAGATCCCTAGAAGGGGCGCGTCTGGGAACTCCTTGGGAGCCAGCTACCTGTTTCAGGGCCGCTGCAACCAGACCTCTGTCCCCAACAATTGCTGTCAGCTCAGAGATAAAGTCCAGCCTTCCCTTCAATTCCATTTGGTTTTGTGTGGATGAAGGCACATATGACTCTGGACGGCGTTTTGGTTTTCCGTTTTGGGTTTTGTTTTGTTTTGTTTTTAAGTTAGGTCTGTGCTCCAAGAAATGTTGGTGTCTCATGATTCTTTTTTCCCCCCTACTGCTGCCGGGTTTTTAAGAAGCACCCTGAGGAGGAGGAAAGAACTGTTGCATATTTTGAAATCAAGGTTCAGGTGAGTGTGTGTTTCTTTTTTTTCCCCACACAATTACTTTTGTTTTTAGATCATGGGAATATTTGCTTTCCTTGGCCTGCAATATCACTGGTAGTGTCTATCCTGGGTTTTCCTTCTGGTGAATGACCCACCCTACTCATGTATCTCTCTTCTTAGTGACCCTCTATTGCCCCTATTCTCAATCAGTAGCTAGCTGTTCAAATGGCAAATTATTCAAATCCTTCGGTGCATTCTCCTTTTCTGAGTATGCTGATGGTGTAGAAATACACCTCCTAGAGATTAGTGTTAGAGTTTTATTTTAGGCTATGATTACTTGAGGAGGTTGGTAATTAGGTGGTATCATGTGCAAACTATTTTCTGTCTTCTCCACAGTCATGATTTTTAAATCAAGGCACGGTAGAAGGATTGTTTCAGTTAATAAATGACAGTGTTGTGAGGCTTTTAGGGTGTGGGAATGTGGTTGGTCTTTGAGCATAGGGGTTTGCAGTTTGCACCAACAAGGACAAACTTTCAGATAATCTTTAGGTAGAAATCTGTAACATTGCTAACATGAGTTATTTCAGGTCCCGCTTTGTGAGTGTTGTAGAAGCGGTACTGTGTTATGGTTAAGAGTAAGGCTCTGGACCTAGAGCATCTGTATTCAAATCTTGGCTCTACCTGTTACTAGCTCTGTGAGCTTAGGTGACTCAGGCTCTCTGTGTCATATCTACAAAATTAAGGCAAAATAATGCCTACCTCATGGGGGTTATAACGATATAAAATGAGTCAATGTGTGTAAAGCTCCTTAGAACAGGGCCTGCCCCATGATACAGGCTTAGTGAATATTAAGATTTGCTGTTAGATGGTGATTCTGGATCATTTCACATCAACTTTTTATGATTGAAATTTGAGAGAAATATGAAGACGATTGTGATGGGTGCTTTCAAGTTTAAAAAAGTGACCAGATGCTCAAATGGTCTAGTACAGGAAGTCTTAACCTGAGGTCTTGTTCCATTTATGAGCTGCCAGGTGATCGCAAACCCCTTGAAATTGAGGCAGAATTTTTGTAAATATTTGTAAATTTATTTTTTTAAGTGGGCAAAATGTCTATAATTTCATTAAATTGTCAAATGTACATGACCCAGAAAAGGTCTAGCTTCATTGGTCTGGAATTAAGATTTAATAGCTGGGAAGGAACTTTTACAAAATTAGGGTCCAGTGACCTAAGGGGGACCTTAGGCGCCCCAAAGTTAATCATTCTTAATACTTTGGTGTGTTTCAGTTTACATTTTTTTTGTGTGAGCCTATGTGTCTGGTTTTGTTTCTGCAGAATAAGATAACAGTAATTGGTGATACAGTTGAGTTGAAGACTCTCTAGCTCTTATTTTGAAGAAGAAGAAATCCAACCCAGATGTGGGTTTTATTTTAATCTTGAATATGTAGAAAGAAGAGGGAAGTGTCAGTGATTTCTTATTTAAAAACCTGAAGTATTAACAACTTTTAGGCATATAGAAACACCATTTAAAAATTAGTTATAAGGGCGACAAAGTCAGACTTTCAGAATTAGATTATTTTAAAGGTTCCTTCCATAGAAAGTAGTGATAATTTTCTAGTGTATATGCGCTGTCTTATGAAAATCTATTTTATAGGGGTGCCTGGGTGGCTCAGTGGGTTAAGCGTCTGCCTTCAGCTCAGGTCATGATCCCTGGGTCCTGGGATCGAGTCCCGCATCGGGCTCCCTGCTCAGCAGGGAGCCTGCTTCTCCCTCTCCCTCTGCTACTTTTTTTCTCTCTCTCTTTATCAAATAAATAAATAAAAATCTTTTCAAAAAAAGGTGTTTAAAAAAAAAAGAAAATCTATTTTATAAATAATATTTCCAAAGACAGATACTAATTCCAGAAGGTAGAATAAGAAGGTTGTAGTGATCAATATTCAAATAAACCACCAATTTGCACAGAACAAGATCGCATCTCTGGTTAATGTTCTCTTGACATCTAATATGGTAATATTTTCTGAGCCAGCTTTATAATGCTGAGTCCTATCTCTGTTTGCCGCTTCTGGGAGGAGGGGATATCTCTTGTATGTCTTTCTGAGACCCTGTTTTGCTTATGTTGTCATTTAGGAAGAATAGCAAGCTCAAGGCTGGGCTGTGAAACTTTAGTTAACTTTGTAAGAAAATAGGCCTGGGGGCACCTGGGTGGCTCAGTCGTTAAGCGTCTGCCTTCGGCTCAGGTCATGATCCTGGAGTCCCGGAATCGAGTCCCGCATCGGGCTCTCTGCTCAGCCACGGGCCTGCTTCTCCCTCTCCCACTCCCCCTGCTTGTGATCCTTCTCTCACTGTGTCTCTCTCTGTCAAATAAATAAAATCTTTAAAAAAAAAAGAAAGAAAATAGGCCTGAAAAGTACAGATTTTATTATGAAAAAATGGAAAGGGGCGTTAACTTTCTTTAGAATAAGGGACAATAATCTTTTGCATCTTTAATAACGGCTAATTGTTGGACACCTGTTGTTGTTATTTTTGTTGTTGTTGTTGTTTTAAGTAATCTCTGCACCCAGCGTGGGGCTCAAACTCATAACCCTGAGATCGAAAGCCACATGCTCCTATGAAGGAGCCAGCCAGGCGCCCCTATTGTACACCAGTATTTTTTGTGGATTTTCTTACATAATCGTCAATGCAGCCCTCTGTGGTAGACAATGTTCCTATTCGTCTTTTTTTTTTTTTAAAGATTTTATTTATTTATTTAACAGAGAGAGAGAGAGAGAGAGAGCACAAGTAGGCAGAGGGAGAGGGAGAAGCAGGCTCCCTGCCGAGCAAGGAGCCCCATGCGGGGCTAGATCCCAGGACCCTGGGATCATGACCTGAGCCGAAGGCAGACCCTTAACTGAGCCACCCAGGCACCCCCCTATTCGTCTTTTATTGGCAAGGAAATAGAAGTGTTGAGAAATTGGTCACTGTCAAGCCCACTTTCACATCTTGAAAGTCCAACACCAGAGTTTTTATCTTAATTTCAGATACACTTCCCACATTGTGTATACTTTACAAACCTGCCTGCCTCCCTAAGGAATTGATTATGTGTGTCTATGGTCTAATATCATCAAACTAATGAGGACATAGCAGGCCACAATCTAGCAAATCATTTGCTTACTGTTAGGTAGTTTCTGATTCTGTTATCATAAATGATTTTTGGTTGAATATTCTTTTTTTTTTTAAATTTTATTATGTTATGTTAGTCACCATACGTGATTAGTTATTGATGTGGTGATCCACGATCCATTGTTTTCGTATAACACCCAGTGCTCCATGCAGTATGTGCCCTCCTTAATACCCATCACTGAGCTAACCAACCCCCCCACCCCCCTCCCCTCTAAAACCCTGTTTGTTTCTCAGAGTCCATAGTCTCTCATGGTTCATCTTTCCCTCTGATTTACACCCCCTTCATTTTTCCCTTCCTTCTCCTAATGTCCTCCATGCTATTCCTTATGTTCCAGAAATAAGTGAAACTGTATGATAATTGACTTTCCCTGCTTGACTTATTTCACTTAGCAAAATCTCCTCCAGCCCCATCCATGTTGATACAAAAGTTGGGTATTCATCCTTTCTGATGGCTGAGTAATATTCCATTGTATATATGGACCACATCTTCTTTATCCATTCATCTGTTGAAGGGCATCTTGGCTCTTTCCACAGTTTGGCTATTGTGGACATTGCTGCTATGAACACTGGGGTGCATATGGCCCTTCTTTTCACTACATCTGTGTCTTTGGGGTAAATACCCAGTAGTGCAATTGCTGGGTCATAGGGTAGCTCTATTTTTAAATTTTTGAGGAACCTCCACACTGTTTTCCAAAGTGGCTGTACCAACTTGCATTCCCACCAACAGTATAAGAGGGTTCTCCTTTCTCCACAACCTCTCCAACATTTGTTGTTTCTTTCCCTGTCCATTTTTGCCATTCTGACTGGTGTAAGGTGGTATCTCAATGTGGTTTTGATTTGAATTTCCCTGATGGCTAATGATGATGAACATTTTTTCATGTGTCTGTTAGCCATTTGTATGTCTTCTTCAGAGAAGTGTTTTCATATCTTCTGCCCACTTTTTGACTTGATTATTTGTTTTTTGGGTGTTGAGTTTGAGAAGTTCTTTATAGATCTTGGATACCAGCCCTTTCTCTGTAGTGTCATTTGCAAATATCTTCTCCCATTCTGTGGGTTGCCTCTTTATTTTGTTGACTGTTTCCTTTGCTGTGCAGAAGATTTTTATCTTGATGAAGTCCCAAAAGTTCATTTTTGCTTTTGTTTCACTAGCTTTTGGAGATGTATCTTGAAAGAAGTTGCTGTGGGCAATGTCAAAGAGGTTACTGCCTATGTTCTCCTCTAGAATTTTGATGGATTCCTGTCTCACATTGAGGTCTTTCATCCATTTTGAGTTTATCTTTGTGTATGGTGTTAGAGAATGGTCAAGTTTCAATCTTCTGCAGGTGGCTGTCCAATTTTCCCAGCACCATTTATTGAAGAGACTGTCTTTTTTCCATTGCATGTTTTTTCCTGCTTTGTTGAAGATTATTTGGCCATAGAGTTGAGGGTCCATATCTGGGTTCTCTATTCTGTTCCATTGGTCTATATGTCCTAAAATTTGTATGGAATCAGAAAAGACCCTGAATCGCCAAGGAAATGTTGAAAAAGAAAAATAAAGCTGGGGGCATCACATTGCCCAATTTCAAGCTATATTACAAAGCTGTGATCACCAAGACAGCATGGTACTGGCACAAAATATTCTTTTTTTTAAAGATTTATTTATTTTGGAGAGAGAGCATAAGTGGGAGGGCAGAAGGAGAGGGAGAGAGAATCTCCACACTGTGCTGAGTGTGGAGCCCGAGGTGGAGCTCAGCCCCATGACCATGAGATCATGACCTGAGCCGAAACCAAGAGTCGGACAGTTAACCGACTGTGCCACTCAGGTGCCCCTGGGTGAATATTCATGTATATACATCTATACTTCTTTAACTGTTTAAGGATACCATTCCGTAAGGGAATTTTGGGTAAAAATTTGCCCCAATTTTAAGAGCCTGAGATAGTACTTGGGAAGTAATACAATAACTGAAAGACATGGTTGTTACCTTTAAGACAAGGAAGACTAAATCTACATAGGAATAACTAGGCTGCCAGCAACAAAGGCCAATAAGCAATTCAGGCAACCTGTCTTAAGAACTCATAGGAAGGTAATTATAGGAAATACTGTTGGGTCATGACCAGCTTTTTGGAGGCAAATGGAATTTGTCCTGAGTTTTATACCTTACAGGTTTTATCCTACTAATGTTTGTTGCTAAGTGAGACTAACAGGATCAGGTGATCCAGCAGTTATCGGGAGAGTAACATGTCTAAAAAGACAGGTCAGATACAAAATAAACCCATGTGTCAGAAGACATGAAAAGAAACAGGCTTGCGATCTCATCAATATATCCATGACATTTCTTGGGGAATTTTAGCCATTTTTTTCTAGGCAGGACATGAGTGTATATAGAAATTATGTAGTTAGTATAATGCATGGCCCTGGTTACAACAACTCTACAGATACTTAAACAAAAAGAACATTATTACCACAATAAAAACTTTATTGTATATACACCTATAACTCCTAAACACTTTTTTCATCTATCGACATCTGATTGTCAATCTTTTCTATATTGATATACACATATACTTTATAAATATAATCATACTATACATTCTGAAAGCTATATTTTTTTCCTTTTTTTATTATGTTCAATTAGCCAAAATATAATACATCATTAGTTTTTGATGTAGTAAGCTATATATTCTATTGACAATATATCTTGATTATTTTCCCCAACTTAGCGTAGTTTTATAGCATTTCATTGCATGGATGTTCTGAATGCATTAAGAGGTCAGCTTTTGGGGCTCAGGCAATTGTACATCCTGTCCACTACTGTGTCTTGACCAACTTTCTTCAGCCCCAAGCCTGTGAAGGATGTTCTGGCTCGGACCATGTGCCTCTTTCTCAGCCCTGAGAAGTGGCGCTGGTGGGAGGAGGATCCGATCTGGGCAGCACTCAGTAGTCCAACCTCTGGCCCATATCAGCATCCCCAGAATCAGGCATTGCCAGAAACCTTCCTACTGAAGGACGTTTGGGTTTTAGGTGAGAGTTTAGATTCCACAGATGGTTGTGGGGGTGTGGAGTAGAAGCAGGAATGGAAGAGATAAAAGTTTATATTAGCTTAAGTCAAGATGGGATCACTTAAGCACACCTGGTCTAAAGCTTTTTTTTTCCTTCCCCAGCTCTGGCTTTTCTGGATTCTGTGCTTCACCAATCGAGGAACCCCATGGATTATTAATTAGTTCTTGCAGTTCTAGAACCATGACTGATGTAAGTTGTTATTTCTCTGTCCTTGAAATACTGTGATTTTTAGGTCATATGAATCTTCTCCTTAATTGTCCTAAAGCTTTCTGCATAACAGAACCCCAGTCCTGAACCTGCTTCTCAGTTCCTATTCCAGTAAAGGATAGTGCCAAATAGCCCAGTGTCCTTCCCATGTGCCTTTCCAATCAGTGTCATCATATCATTGAACACATTATTCAACATCTGTGTGCTCAGTCTTCTGTCAAAAACAGTGAAGGGATAGGAGTCTTTTGAGGGAAGTACTTGAGCTCCTGTCAAAGAATAACTCAAAGAAATATAATTAACAGTTAGCACATTTTCACTTGTATACAAGGAAAACCAAGAGTAGATTGATTTCATCTATCAAGGCACAAACAGGATTTCTATAAGGGAAGGAGAAAAGAGAGAATGAAAGACTATAGACATTTTGAAAACAACAGTTACTCCTTTTTCAGGTTAAGGTGCTGATTGGCAGGCATCTAGGAAAGAAACCAGTCAGGATACAATGCCCTTAGACAGCTGGATGGTCATCCAAGAGAATGCTTTCAGTTGCTTGTGCCTTCTCTGGAAGAGCTTTGGTGTTTACTTAGGACATATCCACAGCAGGCTGTCTTGGGTAGTGCCCTTTGTTATCCCCTCTGTCTTTTTTCCACTAGGGCTGTACGAGTTTCCTTATCAGAATTTCTTATTCTTGTGTCGGGTCTGTGAGGTGATGGTTCAGTGATGAGGGTCTCATTTGACCACACAGTCAAACTTGGAACTTCTTCACAGACCCGAGTTTCCCAGAGAGAGAAGATGGAATTGGGTTTTCTTGGTCCCAGCCTCAGTTTCTGTGAGGCTTTGCGAGGCTTTTAGGATGAGGGGCCTTGTGAGTGGGTCTTTCCAGGGAAAGTGGTTCCCTAATCAGTGAATACCAGTGTTAAGTTCATTTGGTTAATGACTAGGATGCGCAGATACTGGGTGATATCTGTGTCATATACGTTGTGCCCTTTTCAATGGCCTCCAACTCAGGAATGAGGAAAAGTGTTAGGTGAGGGGTGGTTGATGGTAACAAGTAAGAAGGTGATCTGGATTTCTAAATACTGGATGATAGTAGATTCCTAGAATGAAGAAAATAGAATTTTTGTCCAACCTCACTGTATAAATACAGTAGAGATATTAATCTCATGTATCTATATGATGATCTGAATTACAGCTAGTAAAAACTTCTTATGTATTCATCATTATAAGAGAAAAGACTTATGATGGAATCTAACAGAGTGATTTACTTGAGGCTTAACAGTAATCCTTAATTTAATGGAAATCATTTTTCTCAAATAGAGATTTTATAGTGCATTTGGGGAAAAAAAGTTTTATTTTGTTTTTTTGTATTCCTTGAAAGTTGGTGCAGCAGGTCACGTTAATGAAGAATTTATGAGGCAGGCACAAAGCAAGTTGTGTGTATGTATACACACACATCAACAGCCTTCCCCCACCCCCACTATTTGTATTTAATAGAAGAGAAACTGGGATTATTTTATAGATTACCAGACAGGTCTAGTTATTTCCCAATATCCTAGAAGTTTTTTTCTGTTGTAACAAGATTCTTCTAGAACACGTAGACACTCTGCTTTAGCCATACGAATTTCTTTACTTTTCCCTACCTGTGTATATCACAGGCTTCCAGCCTACTTGATTGTTATATTTTCATCTTCTTGCAGTTTATCCTTCACAATCCTTTTTTTCTCCTCTTGGAAATATTTTCTTAAATCCTGAAATTTCTTGAATTTCACAAGTAATGTATGGGTTTTTGGTTTTAGGGCTTGGTGACTTTCAGGGATGTGGCCATCGACTTCTCTCAGGAGGAGTGGGAGTGCCTGGACCCTGCTCAGAGAGACTTGTACATGGATGTGATGTTGGAGAACTATAGTAACTTGGTCTCATTGGGTAAGGTCATCTGCCTGAAATATTTTAGAGTCTGTCTCTGCACCATCGGCTTTTGCTATGGGAATGATAGGGCTGTCTTTGAAGAAACCAGGTGAATCTCTTCTCCCTGTGCTCAAAGGGATGTTTTGATATTTGTTGGATTAGAAATGGGTTCATCAAGCTCCTTCCTCTTCCCATACCTTCACGAACCTTCCTGTGGCTTTTCCTGCAGTGGCCTCTCTTCTTTAATAACTAAGGAGCTGGATTTGCATTATGGAGCATTTAATTCATAACCATTGTCAAAGAAACCAGGTTTCATACAATGTTTAACTTTAGCATATCTAGAGATGATCTGTGACCTTGCTACTCAAAGTGTGGTTGTTTTGAGAAACCGTAGGAAGGCCAGAGCAGAGTTAGTGAAGGAGATGATACCAAGAAGTTAGTGAAGGAGCTAGATAAGGCCCAGGTGATAGGCAATTTTGTTGGTTTGGAGGAGGAATGTGGATTGTTTTTTCAGTGATTAGAAGCCTTCATGTGGTTTATGTGGGGTTTTAGCTTTTTTTTGTTGAGTATTACATACTTAACATCACCTTCTTCTGGGGCTTTTTAGGTCCTACCCTAGACCGTCAGAAGAGAGTCTGCATTTACACAAGATCCCCAGGTGATTGTTATACACATTAAAGAAACACTGCTCTTTGTTATTTTTTGACCAAAATGCGGGGAGTACAGCTAGAAACAGGGTCTTGATGTACTGTGACCTTGCAAAGAGCCTCTCCATTTTATGCAGAGGAGGATTGGATAAACAGAATTCATTTTATACTAAGTGAACAAATTACTTTTCAACATATTTGAGGTTGAAAGTTGCAATCTGTGAACTTTGCATTTTACAAAGTTAAATTCGACACTGAATTAAATACTAAAAATGTCTCATGAAACTCCTTTTTTGTTAGCAAAATAACAACAGTAATAATACTAATCCTAATACTTAACACTGTGCTTACTATAAACCAGGCTGTGTTTTAAGCAGAGCAGATACTTTAGCTTATTTAACTTTAACAACATCCCCATGAGGCAGGTAATGTTTTTGTCAAACCCTTTTTATAGATGAGAATACAGAGACACATACAGTGTAAGTGACTTCCCAGGGTCACACAGCTACTGGGAGAAATAGCTGCAATTGAGCCTGTAAGGAGGTCTGGCTCATGAGTCTGTGTTCGCAACCGCTGTTTTCTATTTGCTCCAAAGAGAAGGCGCCTGAATGAACAGAACAAGATCATTTTCCTACTGATGTGATCTCATGCTTTTCATTTCCATCATACTTCCCTTCTGTGAAGTCTTTATCAATATTATTTTTACTTTTTATTGCAAATTTAACCAAATGTTTTGAGCTCATCATTTAAAAAAAAAAAAAAGTCTATACCATTTAGCATTTCTTTTCTTGCAAGCAGACACTCCATTTCTCAGTTGGATGTGACATTATGGGAGCAAGGACAAGAGTCCTGGATGGTTATGAGGGGAGGGCCAAGAAGTTGGAACCCAGGAAGGCAAAGGCAGGAGGGAACCATCATTGCAGGGAACCAACCTCACAGGTCACACAGGAGGAGGAGAAACAGGTGGGATGGTGTTTGGAAAACTCCCTACGAAGGACCAAGGCCTCTGGAGGGAGGAAACTGAGATCTCATTTTGGGCTACCAAACAAACTTTCATCTGATCTCATTTCTTACTCTTTGATTTTCTTCTCGTATTTCCCTCCCATTTCAGCAAGGAAGGCATTCTCTTTTTTTTCTGGTGCAGCCATTCTACTTCTATGTCAGATTCAGCTGCTTTCCAGCACTTTTGCATTTCTGCAAGTGTATGAATGAATAAATGTATTCATTCATAAGTTCTGCAAATATTTTGACTGCCTGCTTCTAGCCAGGCATTGTATTGGGCACTATCGATACAGTCATGCACAACATTGATAACTTGCCCATTCTCAAATGCAGTTTTATGTAGTCAAAAAGAAACTGAAAATAAGTAAATAAATAAGTACATAAATAATGTCATATAATGAAACATATTGGTTAAAGAAGGTAAAGAGCATAAGAGAATAGAAAATGATAGAAATTGATAGGCCTAATTTAGATAAGATGGTCAGGGAAAGCTTTCTTGAATAGAAACATGAAAACTGGGATCAAATTTTATGACTATTTGGGGGAGGAATATATCTGTCACAGTGAACAGTAAATGCAAAGGCTCAGTGGTTGCAAAGAAACTGTTGGAACTGTAAGAAGGCCAGGGCAGAGTTAGTAAAGGAGCGTAAAGAAATTAGGTTGGTGAGATAGGTGAGGGCTCAATAATACAGTTTTTTTGTTGTTGTTTTAGGGTTTTCGGTTATGTAGCCTTTCAGTCTGAAAGAGTTCATACATCTTTCCTTGACTTGCATTCCTAGCTGCTTTTGAAGATTATAGGCCAGTTATTTTGTAGTGTCCCTCATTTGAGTTTGTCTGCACTTTTCTTCATGATTAGACTTAGATTTATGCATCTTTGGCAGTAATATCACAGAATTGATGCTGTGTTCTTGCATTCTGTCAGGTAATGCAAATGGTTTGTCATTACTGATGATACTTTGAGCACTTGATTAGGTTAGTATCTGCTGGCTTCCTCCTTGTAAAAAAATTTTTTTTTTTAAAGATTTATTTATTTATTTATTTGACAGAGAGAGAGAGAGAGAGCACAGGTAGGCAGAGCAGCAGGCAGAGAGAGAGGGAGAAGCAGGCTCTCCACTGAGCAGGGACCCCGACACAGGGCCCAATCCCAGAACCCTGGGATCATGACCCAAGCCGAAGGCAGACTCCTAACCAACTGAGCCACCCAGGCGCCCCTCCTCCTTGTAAAATTAATAATTTTTCCTTTAATGGGTATTTTTTGAGGAGGAACTTGGAAACTATTAAATATATCTCTCCAAATTTTCAATTTATTTATATATTGGATCTTTAGTTGGTGGGTTGTAAGCTGTTCTTACTTATTTTGAAGTTCAAAATATTTGAGCTTGTCCCAGATTTGATCTATGGGAACCCTCTCCTGAGGCTTCTGTGTCCTTTGGCACAACTCTGTTACTCATTGAGCATCTCCTTATTTTCTGACAACAGCATGTTGGCTCATCTTGTACTTTACCTGCTCCAGTCCTAAAGTCAACCATTTCTTCAAGGTGGCCTAGTTTCTTTTAGTCGAGAATGGTAGTTAGAAGCCAATATTTTCATACTAGGGTTGCTCATTGCTGTTGGGAGATGGCTGCTCCCAAGCTCTGAGTGGTCAGAGCTAGGAAATATACTTATATACATACATACGTGTGTACACACACATTTACATCTGTGTATTGAAAACCATGAGATGACACCCACCTCCCCTCCAGCAACCTTCAGTTTGTTTCCTATAGTTAAGCGTCTCTTATGGTTAGCCTCCCTCTCTCTTTTTATCTTATTTTATTTTTCCTTCCCTTCCCGTATGTTTATCTGTTTTGTTTCTTAAATTCCACATATGAGTGAAATCATGTGGTACTTGTCTTTTTCTGACTATTTCACTTAGCATATTATCCTCTAGTTCCATCCATGTCGTTGGAAATGGCAAGATTTCATTCTTTTTGTAGGCTGCGTAATATTCCGGTGTGTGTGTGTGTGTGTGTGTGTGTACCACATCTTCTTTATCCATTCATCTGTCAATGGACACTGGGCTCTTCCCATATTTTGGTTATTATGGACATGGCTACTATAAACATTGGGGTGCATGTGCCCCTTCAAATCACTATGTTTGTATCCTTTGGATAAATACCTAATAGTGCAATTGGTGGGTCATAATGTAGTTCTATTTTTAACTTTTTGAGGAACCTCCATATTGTTTTCCAGAGTGGCTGCACCAGTTTGCATTCCTACCAACTTACTTTCTATATTTCTAACTCCCTTCTCTGACAGTGAAAAATTTGGCTTCCATTTTCCTTAATATGTTATTTGCTCAAACTCTTTGTGTGTAGCCAATCTTCCATTACCAGTACCACCACTCTGATCATGTGATTGACCTTCTCATCCTCCTTGGGCTGTGACCTCCATGCCAGGTCACAGACACTTGTCTTTAACCTTCTTGCACATGGGACAACTCTTTTACACTGACACCCTCCTCACAGAGGGTAACAATATTGGTTGACTTTCAGTATCCTATTCTGGGCTTCATTTTATTGTCTTGAGTATGCGTTTTAAAAATATTCATTGTGGTGAAATGGGAAGTATTCATTAAGCTCTTCTGTTGTATACCAAAGTGTGACGGTTGCCTTGAGGAAAACCAGTTTTGCAGTTGTTTGAATTGTGAGTCAAACTAGGTGTCCTTTCCCCAGAATACCACTTTGTTCTTGAAAGAATGCCCAACAGACAAACTTTTATTGTTCAGACTTAGGTAGTTGGAAAAATGTTCTTATAAGCATGCCTTTGAAGACAAATAACAGTATTTGTTGCCAATGATTAATTCAGACTTCCAAGTAAAAATTAGAATTGTGTGAAACAGCTACCATTTTGAGCTTTACAACTTCCCAACACATAAACATTTTTTTTTTTTTAAAGATTTTATTTATTTATTTGAGACAGAGAGAATGAGAGACAGAGAGCATGAGAGGGAGGAGGGTCAGAGGGAGAA